TTCAAATATTTATAAATAAATAATATAATAAAAAATTTAATGGTATAACTACCATATACATATATATATTTCCATAAATAATAAAATTTTTAGTTACCATAATTATTTTAAAACCTCCAGTCACCCAATAAATAAAACTAAACCGATTAAAATTTTAAAACCTCCAGCCAGAACTTCTCTGCGCCTCTCTCGTTTTCTCTTTCTCTAATTCTCTTTCTTTCTCTCCTTCTCTCACGCACTCTCGCCTTCTGCCTCCTACTCTCTTCTATTCTGCAATTCCAACCACCCATTGCAAATTTTACTCCTTGCATTAACTCTTCATCCCCTAAGTCTTCCTTCTCTCCCCCTAAGTCTTCCTAATGCCATTTTTTTTTCCACACGTCTGCCCCATTTTCCAATCTCTCCCAAATTTTCCACCTCCAAGTTTCAACTTTCAACCGAAAGTTGGTGGAAAGTTGACTCTTATATTTTTTTTCTTTCTTTCTTTTTAAATAATAGGATATTACAGTTAACCTACCAGCCCTCCTATTATTATACTCCTCTAATCCTATTTATAAAGTAAAGAGAGAGAAGATATTTTTTGATTCTATCTATAGGGTCCTAATTTATTATTGTGTTGACTTTGTTTATATTAGATATAACGTATATTAAATAGAGATAAAATTAAAAATTTGTTAAATTTTAAATGAAAATTAATGAAATTTAAGGTTTTTCTTGGTCTGTATGAAACATGTTGGAAGTGACTTATAAATAGGACGAGAAGAGTATAATTATATTAGGTATTTATATACTTAGTTTTTAATTTTACCAAGCCTCTTATAGTTTTACTTAATTTTTAAATCAGGTTTATGTATTTTTTAAAAATTTATTTATTAAATGAATTTAAATAAAATTAACTAAATCAAAAAATACAAATGATAAATTTCAATTAATAATTATAAAATGATTAATATAAGGGAAAATGACAGATAAAGAATGTGAAATATATGATATTCTAATTTGGAAAGCTAAGGAAATATAATGACGGAGAGGAAAGTCTTCCCAAATTGGAATTTTGAAATTCAGTAAAACAACAAAAATGCCATTTGTTTTTTTTTTAAAGCTTAGGCCTCACTGGTGGTTGGCGACTGGCAGCCGCTGCCAGGTACTGGTGACGACCATCGGCGTCGTGGCTATCCGGTGGAGTTTTTTTGTGACAATTTTTTTTTTGCATGGGAGAATATTGTAAGAAGTGGTGGGGGTGGAATTTGATCCCACAACCGCTTGGCCATCTAGGCCAACAAAATGAAAGGTGACCATTGGACCATCAAAGACTTCTTAATCTTATAATACAAATAAAAATATAAGTTGACTCTTTTACTGTAACTCCAACCCATGACAATAATTTACCTGAAGATAATAAGTCTTAATTTAAAAATAACAAGTTTAAATTTGATATTAACAAAGTAATTTTTCCTGATACATAACAAGAAGTAACATGTACATTAATTAAAAATAACCATAATTTATTTGAAAATGACACGTCTTTTCTGAAAAATGATAAGTCTAAACTTGAGATTAACAATGTGTCTTTTCCTGATACATAATAAGAAATAACATGTACATTAATTAAAAATGACCATAATTTATTTGAAAATAACACATCTTTGCTGAAAAATGATGCGTCTTTAGTAAAAAATGACAACAATTTATTTGGGAATGTACATGTTATTTCTTGTTATGTATCAACAAAAGTTATTTTGTTAATATTAGGTTTAATATTGTCATTTTCCAATAAAAATGTGTCATTTTCAAATAAATTATGGTTATTTTTAATTAATGTACATGCTATTTCTTGTTATGTATCAGGAAAAGACACATTATTAATATCAAGTTTAGATTTATTATTTTTCAATAAAGACGTATCATTTTTTAATAAATTATGATCATGTTTTAATTAATGTACATGCTACTTCTTTTTATGTATTAGGAAAAGTTGCTTTGTTAATATCAAATTTAGACTTGTTATTTCTCAATTAAGACTTGTTATCCTCAAGTAAATTGAGTTACAATAAAAAAGTCAACTTATATTTTTGTTTGCATCATAAGATTAAGAAGTTTTTGATGGCCCAATAATCATCTGTTTTTTTGTTGGCCCAAATGGCCAAGGGGTTATGGGATCAAATTCGACCCCACCACTTCTTGCAATATTCTCCAATGCAAGAAAAAAAAACTGTGACAAAAACACTCCACCTGCAGCCACCGTTGGCCACCAGTGACGTGCTGAGCTTTTTTTTTTTTAAAAAAAAAAAGACAAAGGGCATTTTTATTATTGTATTAAATTTCAAAATTCTAATTTGGGAAAGACTTCTCTTTCCGTTATTACATTTTCTTAGCTTCTCAAATTGGAATATCATATATTCCACCTTCTTTATTTATCATTTTCCCTTAATATAATTTATAATTATAAATTTAGATAATTAATTATAATTAAATACAATTATATCATATTTTTAGAAATTTTTATTATTATCATTCAAATTTTGTAATTATAATAATAAATCAAAATTTTAATTGTCTAATAAATAATATAATTGACAAACATATATCAAGTTAGTATGTCAAGTTTATCAATCAAATTAAGCCAGCTGTATTAATTTTATACAATATTTCTCTAATTCTATTTATAAGTCACTTCTAACATATTTCACATGGATAAAAAAAAACTTTATTAACTCTCATTTAAAATTTAACAACTTTACAACTTTATCCTTATTTACTATACATTATACCTTATTTAAACAAAATCAACACAAAATAAATGAAGGATAAAATTATATATCAATACAAAAAATTTCTCCCAATACCCTATAAATAGGATCAAAAAATATTTTCTTTATCTGTCCTATAAATAGGACCAAAAGAGTATTATTTAACTCCAAAATAACTGTTAAACTTAAACATAGTTAAAATAAGCTTGGAAAAATAGTTTTTTTCCTTTTTTAAACACCGTCAAATTTCTTGTATCCCCAGGCATATGCAGCTGCTGATTCATACATTTTATTCCTGCCTACGAGAAAAAGCGATAACCGAATGGTGCTTCCTTGTTCTTCTTCTTCTTGTTTTTTTTTTTTTTTTTAAATTCTATTTTGAGGATGCATGAATGGCTGATTGAATCAAGATGCATGAACTCAAACTAAATTCAACAAAACTACTCCACTAATCATTAATAAGTTAATGTAAGAGCTAATTGAGAAATTAATGTTAGTCCTATATATAAAACTTATTTTACATGTTTATTATTATTTTTTTAAATTAATTTTATTGATATTCCTATAACAATAATCAAGTAGGAAAAAGAGGATTTAAAAAAGATGTGTAGAGTGTTTTAGAAAAAAACATATCATATTAACTAATTTTACTAACATCATTAATACATTCAAATTAGTTAATTATCTTTTATATTAAGAATTAGTATTATGACCGAACACCTTATTTGCAAGCTATTTGCTAATGTAAACGGAAGTCTGACTATAAAGGATAAAATTTCTGCTAATCAAAGAGCAGTCCCCAGCTAATCGTGGCCCCTTATGACTCGTTTGGAATGGCAATATAATTCTTTAAAAACAGATTTTTAATCATAATCCACAAAATGTGAAAGGAGTTTTGTATTGAATTACATGAATAAGAAATTTTGGAGATTCCAATGGTGATCTCAAGCAAGCACTAAATCTTAAAGCTCTGTCAATTATTTCAAAAGAAAAAACCTTTTCGTTTTAGTGGTGTTTGTTTAAATAATGATGTATAAAACTAATACAACGGGTTAGATTTAATTAGCAAAATTAATACTACCTCCAGCTCTAATTATAATAACTAGTTGACTAATTTGAAGAAATTAAGAAAATAAGTTAAGTTAGTTATTTGCAATAAATATGTGTTATCTTTCTTAAAATATCTTTATTAATCAAGTTTATTGGCTAGAACTACCATCATTAGAAAGACTATTTTGAGAAAAAATTCATAAATACGAGAGACAAAATAGATTGGAATATTATATTTGGAACTAAAATAAAAGTCAAATAAAGGCTTATATTAAATATAGGAGGTAGTATATATTATCGCTTCAACTCTGCCCCCTATATATTCTGAATCATTTCACCTATTAGATATAGCAATAGAAGAACTGCTTCATCCAATCAAATATCAAAATGGAGTTTTGGATGGATCACATAAGGAGCAATCTGCCTTAAACATAAAACTAGGGCAAAAGCCTAATAATACTACCAGATCAACATGGAATAGACAATCAAGCAAATAAGGACTCTTTTTTTTCTTTTTGGCCACAGAATAATAACTAATTATGCTTTGTTAAGCATGACTAATTATTTGGATATACGCTGCCCCTATTAGAAATAACATGATTTTCCACCCAAAAGTGTGTGTATATTCCTGGCCCAAAAATTAACTTCACATTTTAATGCAAACATATCTTTTCCAACCAATATGTTTATTTTGTAATTAATAAAAATAATTCAGATTACAATACCTCTGGTATATCTTCATTGGAGCCGTCTCCGCATATTACTATACCCTTTCCTTCGGGTTTAGTGACATTATCATTGCTCTCAAAGACTTGACGGTTGCTTTATCATTTGTCTCTCTCATATCCTCCATGTTTGCCGCTTAATCTATTGAAAGGTACAAGTGCATTAACTCATGGGAGAATCGCAATAAAGTATCAAAAAAGAAACATAATTACTAAAAACTTCTAATAACAAATTGAACAACTTATAATGCCAAGTTATATGGTAGGAAATTTATATAGTAGGAAATTTATATAGTAGGAAATGACAACTCCCAACTTGTTATCAGAACTTTTTGGTAGTTATTTTCTTTTCATGGGACCTCATTATAATTTTTCCTTAATTCATTCATCATATTCATATGCACAATCAAATGTTTTTGGATGAGATAATTTTGATAAGGACGCAAGAGACAGAGCAAAAACAAAACACAAAAAGAAAAAAAACACCTTCTTGAGTTGTGGTGTCATTTCCACTTTAATCAAGTTGCCACTGCGAAACTTCAACTTTTGTCCTTTTATAAGGATTTGTGAATCGGATATCCTCCATTCTTCCATCTTCTTCCTTTACATGGATTCCCATCTCTTTCAAATGCCTCCACACATCTTCATATATACAAATCTTAACATGATTCCACCCACTAAGAAGCAGAGGGCCTATTTCATCAGTGATCTTAATATCCCAACTCATTAACATATAATGAGATGACATTGAACAATAGATTATCATAGTGTCCTTCATCATATCGCCTTCATTGAACAATGTTATCCTACCATTAACATTTACCTCAGCACTTAAAACATCAAGTACCATTTGTTTTCTAACAAAACAGAGAGAGATCATTGGCGCTCTGCCGCGAAACCAGAAAGATATGGACGGTCCCCTGCTGCTATGGTGAATCCATTCAAAAATTGCTGATCCAGGCACGAAAAAAGGTTTGTCACTACCCTCTTGTAATTCCTGTCAAAGATCAAGAAAAAATGTTTAGGTGCATAAAAGAATCAGATTAAAATGGATTAGAATATCAGAATTTGAAACGCAACCAAACCTGGCTCAGTGATGTTCTTCTCCATAAGCAATCTCGTGCCCATAATTCTTCTAATTTTGGGGGAATCCCATTTATTTCTCTCAGATGTTTGGAAGGATCAACATAACGCTTCTCCAAGAAACAACAGTCTTTAATGCACGCCGGGATGATTGAAAAACCATTAACAGAAAGGTTTAAGCATTTCACATTGGAGAACCAAGTAAGACATATAGGAAGGAATGCATCTGATATATCGCACCCAGGAAGCCTAATCACCTCCACATTAGGACACAACAGGAAGCTTCCTTCTTCTTGGCCTTCTCTACGGTCTTCATTAGATGTCCCTTCTAGTCTTTGTAACATAGCAAGGTTACTTGGTAGCAGAATAACTCTTCCACATCCTCTCATATTCAAATTTCGAAGCCCAGTTATGTTGCAAATTGAAAATGGCAATTCTAAGTTTCTATCACTCAAATCAAGATTTTCTATATATTGCATCTTTTCTAATATCTCTGGAAATTTCTCAAGATTTATACAGCCTTCAAGTCCGAGGTGTAGAAGATTGGGCATCTTGATTGCACGAGGAAAAACCCTGAGCTTTGTACAGTATCTAACATTAAAGATTTCAAGTTTCTCCAAAAATCCCATTGAATCAGGAATTTCAATTAAATTGTAACAACCTTCCAGGTTTAGTTCAACTAAGTTTGGGAAGCCAGATCCATCAGGAATCTGGCTTATAAATTGACATTTTCTAAGATTCAAAGTTGTCATATTCTCCCATTTCTGCAGGAAGAAAACCATAAAATAGTTAGTGGAATTTTTCATTAACACATAACTTGATTACCCGGATAAAAATAAGCATATAATGAACTTAAAAAGTAATATACTCACTATTTTAGGTTCCAAAGACCGTAAGCAACCTCCTTGCAAGTCAAGCACAGCGAGGTTTGAAGGATCAAAATTAGTTGGTAAACAAGATGCCGGATATCCCCACCACTGCAACACCGTTAAACAATCTGGAAGATTCAGAGGACCATTTAAAAACCAGGCCTCCTTGAGAAAAAGTATTTTTAGATTTGTCATCCTTCTGAAAGCCACTCTGTCCCAATTTATTTTCATATTTCCACACTGATGCTCCTGAATTATAACAACAATTTTTTCTGTACCCTATTAATAGACAAAAATTTAAAGTCAATCACGAGTTAGAAGTTTCAGATACTATAAAGGAAAAAAAAATTTTGTTCTAATAATTTTAATCGGCAAACATGCCACCAAAAATGATAAAATTTTGAATAAAACAATAACACTCTGTGTCAAGGTACAAAAAGAAAAATTAAATCACCCATATCAGAGTCACTCACCGTATTTTTTTGCAGAACATGAATAATATCTTCATGGGACCATAATCTACTTCGTTTTCCCGGCTCTCTCGGTGATTCATGACGAATGATTTCTCTTCCCATGGCTTGTATCAAGTCATGCATTTTAATACAACCATTTTCAATCTTTACAAGGCATTTGTCTTTCAACACTTCAATACAATAATTTGGATCGAAACCATGAGCAAGTTCCACCATATCTTTGACATTTTCCAACTCTTTCCCTTTGAAAAAACAAGCAATATCAAGTAAAGTTTCCTGCTCTCCCTCTTGCAAGCTATTATAGCTTACTTGCAGTATTTGTTGAATTTCTTTGTTTGGAATTCTTTTATAGACATCTAATGCAGATTTCCAATCATTTATACACTTACCAAACAAGTGAGAACCTATTACTTCGAGAACTAATGGAAGGCCTTGGGCACACTGTATTGCACAACTCACAACTTCCCTGTAACTTGGATGAACGTTACAACTTTTAAAGGCATTCCAGCTTAACAATTCAAGAGATTCTTCCTCATTGAATTCCCTCACGTCATATATTGTTTCAACACCATGCCTTTTAAGTAATTGCCTATCCCTTGTTGTAATAATAATCCTACTGCCAGAACCAAACCAATAACAATCACCTGCGAGTTTTTCCAATTGCTCTCGTTTATCAACATTATCAAGAATCAAAAGAACTTTCTTTTGAGTGAGTCTTCGTTTTGTTACAGCAATTCCTTCGTTAACATACACCAGCTTGATATCCTGCCCTATAATTTTTGAAAGCATTCTCTCTTGCATTTGTTCAAGGCCAAGTTTACTTGAATTTTCTTTGACATCATGGAGAAAGCATGAACCTTCAAAGTTATCAGCAACTGAGTTATACACAGCACGTGCAATTTTCGTTTTCCCAACTCCTCCAATTCCACATATTCCTATCATGTTGACTTCATTGTCCAACTCAACTCTTAGAAGAGAATTAATTTTTAACACTCGAGACTCGAGTCCAACTGGATAGTCTGCAATATGCAAAGTGCAAAGGATCCCTGTTGATCTTACTAGAGATCTGTTTAACAATCCTTTGAATGAATTGATACTCATATCCATGCCTGACAAATTACAAAATTTATGTCATTACTAAATTTCAAGTCAAGTCAAACTAAATTCATTCATGAAGCAATTAAAGTTAGCTTATTCCTATATACATTTAATATGATGCATCTGAACATCCAATACAAAGTAAAACAAGAGGTATAGGTTGTGACTTACCCAACACTGAGGTGAAAACTTGATATATTGGCTGCTTCATGTAATGCAGCCTTCCATCTTTGCAACTTATCCACATTATCTTTTAACTTCCTCTCATGCATAGCCAGGGCTTCTCTATACTTCCCTTCTTGATGCCGCACGTGTAAAGGTTCCACATCATAAAAAATTGGCAAAACCAACCGGCTGTTTCCCTTAATAAATTGTAGAATCGTGACAAGTTCATTGAGGCAAAACGTGGAGGATGCATAGTCATTAGAGAATATAACGATGGCCATCCTAGACTGTTCAATTGCTTTGAAAAGTGCTGGTGTAATTTCATCCCCTTTTCTAAGCTCTTCATCATCCATGAAGGTGCGGATTCCATTTTCACAAAGAGCAAAATAAAGGTGACCTGTGAAACCATTACGGGTATCTTTGCCTCTAAAATTGAGGAAGACATCGTATTTCCATTCACAGTTGAAGGAAGTGGAAGATATTGCTTGAACTGCCATGCTAATCCCTCTTGCAATAGAGAATTGAATATCTAAAATATCACACTGAAAATGCTAAGTTCAACTGATGAAGTTGGACTGATCCTTTATTAGTAATAAGTTATGTAAGAAAGAAGAGAATATAATGGTGAATTGGAGCTCTTCCAGCTAGCCAATTATGAGCAAAAACACACAACACTCTCCTTTAAGACCCAAAACAAAGAAAAGAAAAGAAAACGACAAAGAAACAATGTGGAAAAGTTATACCCTGTCTGGACTAAGACTCGATTCAATGTTCTTATCGGCTTCAGACATACAAACCATAAAGCTGACGGTACAAAAAAATGTACAATACTAACCCTAGAAAATTCATAGTTAGCTGAAATATTTTCCCATAGTTCAAAAGAAAAAAAAAAGAAGAAAAAATTGCAAATAAAAACTCCGAATATATAAAATTGCGATTTGGGACCCTCAATTTGAAATATAATAAATAAGGACCCAGTCTTTTTTTGCAAATATGAAATCATAGTGAAGTGTTTAAAATACCCTTCAGCCAAATGACAAGTTGACTATGAAAAATGACAAGTTCACTTTAACGAACGACAACTTCAGTAGACAAAATCATAACTTGATTGAGGGTATACCAAATGAAGAGTTAACTATAAGAAATAACAAGTTCACTTTAGCGAATGACAACTTCAGTAGACCAAATCAAAATTTAGCTGAGGGGCATTTTAGATATTTCACTCACATTTTATATTTGTAAAAGTGAGACCTGGTCCTTATTTGCTATTTTTTTCAAACTTAGAGTCCCAAATCATAATTTTACATATTAGAAGGTCTTTATTTGTAATTTTTTCCAAAAAAAAGGCCGTTGAGCATAAAAATCTGCACTCTACGCTCAGCAAGAGACATTGAAATTAATGGATCGTAACGAAATAAAAGTTCGTTGTACCTGCAACGTGAAAGCAACGTGAAGGGCAGACTCCAAGGCTGCAAAAGGTTCAGGTTGTAAAAACTAAAAATTAAACTAAATCTTCTGAACTTTACGTATACCTGGCTCGTGGGCTCTAGCTATTGGTATGTGAGAAATTTCAGTAACCTCGCCATTAAAGAACTATAAAAGGATAATTGTTATAATTGAATAGATAATCCACATGCCTAGGTATTGGAATGGTTGGCCACAGCAGATTTGTGCTTTGAACTCTACAACTCCTCACTCAAGTGTCAGGATGGACGTAGTACAAGAAAGAAACAAGAGAAGATAGAGAAAAATATATATTTAAAAATATGCTTAGCATGAATCGGACAACCGGAAAACATCACCAACGAAGACTTAAATTGCTTAAATTAAGGTCCAGAACGAAGAAACAGAGATATAGTAAAGACCCTGAGAAGAAGAGCAGTTCACGAGGACGCGAGAGACAAGTGGAGAGTTCATCGCTGAAATGTAAAACCCCAACAAAATATAAGCATTATAGAAAGCAAAAATGGACGAACAATGAAGAATTGATGAACCATTAAGTGTGCGGAAAATTTCAAAAAAAAAAAAAATATTTCTTAATGTCAGAGTAAAGAACAATGAAGGATTGAACCAGGATGTGTGCGAAAAAAACTCAAGGAGGAATGTTTCACCCAGTTAGAAGAAATTTCAAAGCCAGCCTGCAGAACTTCTTTCCACAACCATTGTCAATACCTACAATCAAGCTTGAATTTGGAAGCTAACAGGCCAACAGAAAACGTAATCCCCAAAACAGAGGACTGAAAACACACAAGTTAATGAGACTCACCTGCTCGTCCACGAACAACGAGAACGAAGGGCAGGAAATACAAGAGAAATGCCACGACCAAGAAGAAACTTCGTAGATTTTTTGAGGACCTTCAGAAACTTGGCAGAGAAGTTATTACAAAATTGGAAAAATAGACAGTAAAATACCTTTAAAAATATTAAATAACAAATAAGGGTAGGTAAATTTTAAAATCATAATTCAGATCCCAGGTACTATTTTGAAATTTTCAAATCTTGTAAAATGACAACACTGTTTTTACTCTCGATGACTACTTTCATATAGTTATTGACTACTTTAGTTTAGCTGTTGACCACTTTTGTTTTCATAGTTCCGGTGACTATTTTTATATAGCTATTGACTACACAAGAGTAGTAAATAATTAAACAAAAAGTAGTCATTAAATCTCCAATAACATTTAATACATTTTTTGATTTTTTAAAACAAAAGTAGTCAACAAACAAAACTAGAGTAGTTAATAGCTAAATAAAAGTAGTCATGAAAATTTTAAAAATAAAAGTAGTCAATCATAATACTAGAGTAGTCAGTAATGTAACAAGAGTAGTCATCAAGGTTTGAAAACAAATGTAGTCAATAGTTAAAAAAGAGTAGTTAATATATAAGAAAGAGTAGTTATCGGAGCTTCACAACTGGTCACCAGAGTTTCGGTAACATGTCCCTGAAGCTCTAGTAGTTCGTCACTGGCAAGGTTGCTAGCGTCTGAGCTCTAGTGGTTGGAAGTGCTGAAATGGCGGTATTTAAAAAATAAAAGACATTTTGTGTAATTTTACAATATTTGAAATTTTCAAAAAAAAAAACCCAAGGTCTAAATTAGGATTTTGAAATTCATATGCTCCCGTTTATTATTTAGTATTTTTAGGGTATTTTAATGTCTTTTTTCCAAATATTATTTGTCCCAATGGCTTGGCCATATTTTCGAGTCAAATTCCTCCGCTCTAAAAAGGTAATAAAAGAAGTCCAAGTCGGGAAAAAAAAAAAAATAAAACAAAAGCAAAAGCTAAAACAAGTCCCTATTCCCATATTCCCCTCTATTTTTATCCATTTTTCACAGAAATTTTTTTTAAAAAAATGATATTTGAATTTCAAATTTTTAAATAAAATTATTACAAAAATGTGTTGTCATTTGTTTTTTCACTATAGTCATTTTCTTTACGAGTATAATAATCAATATTGATATGAAATTTTAAAATTTAAAAATCATTTTTTTAAAAATTTTTCCTTTTTCATATCAACCATAAAGAATTTACAAGAGATACTGAGGTGGCGATTCCTTATTGTAGATGATAATGTGTCGTGGACATGCTCCTATATTTTAGAATTCGGTTGAATTAAAAAGCATTTTTAAAAAGTATTTTCATGTAAATCAAGATAAAATTCTTCTCACATATATAAAATTACTTTTAAAATTATGGTTTAGTTCCACCAAAACATCTCCTAACATATTTTTCAATAATGAAATCTCATTCACTAATCTTGTACTATCCTGAGATGGACTTTTGGTTTATCTCTTTCGACAATGGGCTCATTTGGGATCACGTTTGGGGGCCCAAACGTGCATCCCCATCTGGCTTCTCATGTGGCTGTATTTTTAACATGTTTGGATTCACGGTGGGCTAATCTGACTTCTAGGAGAAGCTGATTTCGAGTGCTTTTTTTTTGGACGCTGGTGCATTTGAGAAAACCGTTGGAATGTTTTATTAGGATGTTAAATATTTTTACCTACTTGACCCTCCTGCATGATTTTTCTCTCACTTAGCTAAAAGAAAAAAACGACACACACACTCTCTTTTTGAAACGCGATCTGAATGGCATGGCATCCAATTAATTATTTGATGTATTTAGTTAAAAATGCTACATTCGTATGACCTCTAATTTACATATTTATCCATTACATATATTTAATTAAGTATTTTATTATTTTTCAATTTCCTTCTAATAATAACTTAAATTTTTTATTTTTAATAATTTTATTTTCAATACTTCTTTTAAAATGGTCACATTATATATATAATTTCTTTATAACAATAAATTAAATTTTCTTATTTTTAATAATTTTATTTTCATTACTTTATTTAAAATAGTCACATTACATATATATTTTCTTTCTAATAATAAATTAAATTTCTTTACTTTTAATAATTTTTATTTTCCTTACTTCTTAAAAAATAGTCTTATATATATATATATATATCTAATATTAGATATGTACTATTTAATAAAATTCATATCCTTTTAAGTCATTTTACATCTAAACTTATTTTTACATTTATCATCCAAACAAATTTCAGCTTCTCAAACTGACTTTTTTTTAAAACTCAATCCAAACATAAATCACATTACCCTATCTGACTTTTACTCAATTTGACTTCTGGAAAAGTCAGATTGAAAAAAAAGTTACTTCTCCATTGCTAATCCAAACACATCCATTGGAATGTAAACACTTTAACTTGTATAATCACCACGATGACTACTTTGATGAAAAATAAACAAATATAGGAGACAAAGTGAATGGAGTTGTTATATTGAGGATCAAATTGAATCTCTAACTTACTCTTATATTTAGGACCGGAGGTAGTATTAAGTACCAGGTGTAGTAGAAGTGTTTCCGTCGATGATATGGTGAGAGGGCCATACAAAAACTCACGCTATCAAAAAGAGCGAGTATAGTTTCTCCTGTCACATGCAATGGTTCTTCAGATTTTTCAGGCAGTATTATCCATGAATTTAAGCTTAATTAGTTTATTTGAGAGAGAATTTAATAAATTTCCCCTTGTGTGGCACAAGCATTTGGGTTCCTTATGCTTGAATAAGTTATAGTCGTAATCTTTCTGCGCTGTTCAGGCATCTAGATGCCAATATGCAAAATAACTTTCCAAATTAAATTTCAATACTTATGATTATTTTTTAACTCAGTATCTCTTGAAAGTCGTTTTTCTAAACTCCTCAGTAATTTCTTATGTTCAGATTAATCTACATTTTGTGGTCTCCAGTTATAAATCCTATGAAATTTTGTCATCTGAATCTTTTGATTTTATTCAGGGCTCATTTGAAATAGTTTATAAGTTACTTTTTTTTATTGTGATTTACAAAATATGAGGTAAATATATAATAGAAGTTTTGTCTTGATTTCCATAATGTTAGGTGAATATATATGATGAGAGATATGAAGAATTATACAACGCTGCAAAATCTGCTCATAATGCCAGGAGGATGCATCCTGAGCATGTTGGACCTGACTTCTTTCCTTCACCCTTCTCTTCCTTTACGATTTCTTCTACCCTCTTTTTCTCTTTACCGCCATTAGATTAAAATTTTAAAGGTCT